ATCTGGGTTTTAGGGGTGTAGGGTTTAGGGGTTTAGGGTTTAGGGTTTAGGGTTTAGGGCTAGGGTTTAGGGTTTAGGGCTAGGGTTTAGGGTTTTAGGGTTTAAGGATTGGGGGGGTTTGGGGTTTAGGGGTTTTGGGCTAGGGTTTAGTCCGAAAGCCCCCGCAAGTCAAAGCTGTTCAATTTCAGATGGGTCAACGATATCAAAGAGAAGCGTCAATCGCGATTCGCAATGTGCAGACAAATAAGGCATATTATGTCCAAGAGCTCGTGCAGCACCACGCCCTCACAGTCGGCAAAAAGACAGCTGCTTGATAGGGGTTTAGGGTTTGGGGGTTTAGGGGTTTAGGGCTAGGGTTTAGGGGTTTAGGGGTTTTGCCAGGGTTTAGGGTTCAGGGCTTAGGCGTTTAGGGGTTCAGGAGTTTAGGGTTTGGGGTTTAGGCGTTTAGGGGTTCAGGAGTTTAGGGTTTAGGGTTTGGGGTTTGGGGTGTGGGGGGTTTCGGAGTATAGGGTTTAGGGCTTGGGGGTTTTCGGGCTTTCGGGTTGAGGGGTATAGGGTTTAGGGCTTGGGGTTTAGGTGTAATTACAGGGTCTAGGTTCAGGGCTTAAGGGGTTTTGGGGTTTAGGGTTTCGGGTTTTTACGTTGATTCGCCAAAAATAGTGCAACCCTCATAGGCTTTCCAGGAAAGGGTACCCGAATTATTGCCAGTCCCCCTAAACCCTAAGCCTTTTTCCCTAAGCCCCATCTCTGTGTTTTTTGGTTGTTTCCCTTTACGGCGCTTAGGGCTCAGAGCCCGGGACTTTGGCAATTGGGAGCGTAGGGTTTAGGGATCTCTGAATTTAGGATTTAGGGTTTAGGGTTTCGGGTTCAGGGTTTAGGGTCTAGGGTTTAGGATTTAGGGTTAGGGTTTCGGGTTGAGGGTTTAGGGTGTATAGTTTGGGGGGGAGGGGTTAGGAGTCTAGGACTTCGATCCAGTTTTTTCTGTCCTAAACCCTAGACCCTAGACCCTAAACCCTAAACCCTAAACCCTAAACCCTAAACCCTAAACCCTAAACCCATGAGGGTTTAAGGTTCGGCGTTGGGTTTATGACTCTGCTGGCGAAGCCGAAACCCCTCAACTCTACATCCTAAATTCTAAGCCCCAAACCACAAAGTCCAAAACGCAAAACCTTTAAACTGATCCCGACATCCTGAGCCGAACACTGGTATTTACAGCGTTTCCGCAATCAGTTTTCGCGCAATGGGACTTTTGAATGCTCTTGCTGGCCACTGTTGGAGCAACCTGTACATGTGGAGTCATCAACCAGTCTAACTCGTGGTTAGCTCGGTTTAGCGTTTAGGGGTGTTGTGGGTTGAAGGGTTTAGGGTTTCGGGTTAGGGTTTAGGGTTTAGACGCGGCTAAGTATGTGAGTGAGTGAGGGAGAGGGAGAGAGCGAGAGAGAGAGAGAGAGAGAGAGAGAGAGAGAGAGAGAGAGAGAGAGCGAGAGAGATTGAGAGCGGAGGGAGGGAGGGAGGGAGGGAGGGAGAGATCTGAAGCCCACTCCGAAAGTGTAGGTGAGTTTTGGGTTTGTAAAGGGGTGTGTGGTTAGGGATGTGGGCTGAAAGGCCCCTCACCGCAGCGCTCAAGCCAACTGATGCATGCCATACGCTTCAGGTGCATACCAACAGCCTGAAAGCCCGTCAACTCAAAGCCCCCCCCCCCCCCCCCACCCCCACTGCGCCACCCCCGCCCCCAACTTCAGGTGCTATGTTGAGAAAGATCGGATGCTGTCGCTCCCATGCACTGTCAAGGCGATGTTTCTGTCCCAGCACAACCCAGCCTTTCACGACCACAGGAACCATAAGCCACGCCAAGCTACGTAGTCGGCCGAATATATTTTCTCAGACACTTATGCAGTCATCTAGGCGGTACGCTCCAAACTTGATTCACATGCGCGCAGCTTGTCCTTAGCATCCGGATTCTTTCGTCACATCCCACGAAAGCTCTACTGTAAGACTGTAAGATCTTGAGGGGTGCACGTAGGCCGTGGCATGATGAGATGAGAAGACAGCCGCTGAAGAGCCCTTAGCCTTAGCCCTGCGCCTAGACCTTAAACCCTAAACCCTAAACCCTAAACCCTAAACCCTAAACTTTAAACCCTAAACCCTACACCCTAAACCCGAAGCACCCACATTGGGACAACGTCGCCGTCGGAATGCATGGCCGAGGTCGCACCGCCTTGTGAGCTGTTCTGTGTAGTGGCAGTACGTGCACATCAATACGAAAGACTTGTTCTTGCTTAAGCTCAGTGCTCTTAGGGTTTAGGGTTTAGGGTTTAGGGTTTAGGGTTTAGGGTTTAGGGTGGACTCGTAGCTGCATGGGCCGATGAAGCCGTAACACGTATGCTGGCGTGGATCCTGTACCAGGCCGGGCGGGTCTGCATTTCATGGACACTACATTGTTCAGTTTGCACAAGCTCGGGGTCATATTGTTACAGCAACACGGTTTCCAAGAACTGTCCAGACATTTTCAAGTAGTGATGGCCTATGAAATGGGGTTTAGGGTTTAGGGTTTCGGGTTATAAGGATGACCTATGACGTGGTGTGAGTTTTTTGCCTTAAACTCGACAAATTCCCCACTCGTCGCCACGGTTGAGGGTGTAGGGTTTAGTTTAGTGTTCAGGGTTTAGGGCTAACAGGGAAGCATGTTTGCGAACTGGGCCAAGGAAAGGCTCCGGGTCCTGCTTTGCGTGCACAGCTTCAGGGCTTAGAGGTTCGGGTTTAGGGTTTAGGGTTTTGGGTTTAGGGTTTAGGGTTTATGGTTGCGCAGGCGAACATGATAAAGTAAGCCCCTGATTTGAAGATGTCGGCCTATTGTGTAGGCTTACGTTCTTAACGGTATGTGAAAATTCAGTCAACCTCTCCGTCGGTTGCACAAGCCCCTTTCCTTCTTGAAAGTCTCGAAGATGACGGAGTGTTTCAGCATAGTTCTTTTTCTGTGCAGCATGCATAATGCACAAAGAAGTATTATGAAGCTACCCAGAAATGCCAATTCTACCTAAACCTTAACCCCTGAACCCTGAACCCTGAACCCTGAACCCTAAACCCTAAACCCTAAACCCTCAACCCTCAACCCTCAACACTCAACCCTAAACCCTAAACCCTAAACCCTAAACCCTAAACCCTAAACCCTAAACTAGAGTAGGCAGATCTGAGAGGCGTCTCACCGTTTTCACCCCTCCCGCACAGCCCCAAGCGACCTTCCAGCGCCTGGAGCCTTTGAGTGACAGGGCAGGTCAGCAGAAACGTGGCCGAGTTTCCCTAAACCCTAAACCCTAAACCCTAAACCCTAAACCCTAAACCCTAAACCCTAAACCCCAAACCCCAAGCCCTAAACCCTACACCCTAAACCCTAAACCTAAACCCTACACCCTAAACCCTAAACCCTAAACCCTAAACCCTAAACCCTAAACCCTAAACCCTAAACCGCAGGCCTGAACAGACAACATCATAAGAAGCCCACATGGCTGAAGGACGCCTCATGGGTACACTACAGGCAGCCAGGGTCCAATCTTTAAGAGACCCAAAGCCCTAAACCCGAAAGCCCTATATATAAAGCCCTAAAGCCCTAAAGCTCTAAACCGTGAGCCGTAGTATCAAGCTTTCTGTACAGGTTCACTTTCTGTTATGTCGGACTTTTTGGCCTCTAAACCCCCCCCCCCCTCACACACGAAGGTGGGGGAACCTGCCCTGGAGAAAAGGGCCCCCCCGGGCCTTCGGACGGTGCTGTTCCCTGAAGCAGCGTAGGAGGGAACGAGGGTGATAAAGCTTATTTATAGGATTTAGGAGGGTCTAGGGTTTAGGGCTTAGGGCAGTTTAGGGTTTAGGGTTTAGGGTTTAGGGTTAGCTTCTATAGGGCTTTAGGAGGTCGAGGGGGCTACCAGACACCCCAAAACCCTCATTAAACTTCCGTGGTGTTCTATGGGCATCCTATACGGTGACCTGTACGTGGAGCCTCAAAAGCAGACCTGAATAATGTGCCAATCGCAAACTCTAACCCCTAAACCCTAAGCCCTGAGCCCTAAACCCTCAACCCTACAAGCCCTAAACCCTTTAATCACCCAGAGACTCCAAAACCCCTTAATTAAGGAATATACCCCTAAATTAGAATAGGAACCCTAATATGATTTAAGGTACATTCCATAATTAAGGGGGTTTTGGAGTCTCTGGGCATATATGGCACATGGACGCTGAAGGGCATCCCTATGGATCCCTATGTAGATGATGCTTAGGCCTTCACGGGGGTTCCTATGCAGTAACCTTGGGGCCCAAGTAGATACGATGTACATCCATCCTTCGGCTTTAGGGCTTGGAGTTTGGGGTTTGGGGTTTGGGGTTTGGGGTTTGGGGTTTAGGGTTTAGGGTTTAGGGCCTTAAGGTTTAGGGTTTGGGGTCTTAGGGTTAGCTGGACGGCCCTTCTACGCCGCGTCAGCAGGACTTTAAGGGCCATACGGAGGGAGCTAGAGGCGTGGCAATCGATTGCAGAAAAAGGCGCGAGCTTTGGGGTTCAGGTTTTTGGGGTTTAAAGTTTAGGGTTTTAGGGTTTTAGGGTTTGGGGTTTTAGGGTTTTTAGGGTTTTTGGGTTTTAGGGTTTTCGGGTTTTCGGGTTTTAAAATTTTAGATTTTAACTTTTAGGGTTTTAGGGTTTTGGGGTTTTAGGGTTTTAGGGTTTTAGGGTTCTAGGGTTTTAGGGTTTTAGGGTTTAGGGTTTAGGTTTTATAGGGTTTTAGGGTTTACGGTTCAGGGGTCTTGCTCAGGAGTTTAGGGTTTTTGGATGTAGGGCTTAGGAGTTCAGGGTTGTTGGGTTCTGGGCAGAATAGGGATGTAGGGCGGAGTTCAGAGTTTAGGGAAACCGAAGAGGTCTCCAGGAAGAGCTCGCAGCCCCTTGTGGAATGTGAGGGTTCAAGCCCGAAACGCGCCTTTGCAGCCATGTTCCGTGTGCTTGCGCGCCTTCCTAAGAGATGCACCGCATGAAGCGTGCCGCGCCCTTAATCAAGCGCTGCGCGTAGTATGTGTATACAATGAAGAAGCAAGAGAGGGGGGGGGGGGTCAGGCTGACCAATGGCGGGGTTTAAGCTTCAGGGTTCACCTCGGCAATGATATAGCATGTCTCAGTGGGGCATGCAAAGCCGCGCTGCAAGTTGCAGTCAGAGCGGCAAGTGTGATCACAAGGGTGCATGCTTACAGGTCATCATCGCTCTCTTGTGAAGCTTCCCTAAACCCGAAACCCCAAGTGAAGGCCCGTCATTGTCTGAAGCCGCGAACCCAAGTGACGAACCCTGACTTCATATGAGAATGGTTACTTGACAAAACCTGAGCCTTCAACTTTCAACCCTTCAACCCGAAACCCTCAACCCTTAAACCCCAAACCCTTAAACCCAACCCCTAACCCTGAACCAACCCCTAAACCCCAAACCGGAAACCCTAAACCCTATAAAAAACCCTCAAACCCTCAACTTTGCAACCCGAAAAACTGGGCCTGCCTCGGTCCACCAAGGCCGGCAAGTGGGCTGGGGCTGCCTGTGCGCTGGCAGTCGCCTTAAAAGAGCAGACCTGGGGGAGGAGGACTCTACGAGCCCATGAACCTGGAACGGGTTTAGGGTTTAGGGTGCGCATAGGGTTTAGGGTTTAGGGTTTAGGGTTTAGGGTTCATCTTCTCCTTCATAGGAATTAGAGTACGATAGGGCAGATGACCCCAATTTCTGGGGTTCATGTGGTCACCCAGAAGAGTTGTCAGCTTCCCTCCCGGCCGAAAGTAGCTCAATCCTTGAATTGTCCGTCTCAGTCAGAGGTTAGTGCGGTAGTGTTTTGCACGATGATGACGTATGGCCATCCGGAATCCCAACGCCCAAGCTCAAAACTAGTCCGTTCTGCATGTTGCTTCGTTGTTTCGGCTTGCGTGCGTCGGCGCTCTGGAAGCCTGCGTTTCTGGAGAAGTGATCGTCGACAAGCTGCAAGTGACACCTGTCCCACAAAGTCGGTGCCAATCGCGAGAGTACCCTAAACCCTAAACCCTAAACCCTAAACCCTAAACCCTAAACCCTAAACCCTAAACCCATGACAAGAGTTCCCCAAACCCACCTGAAAGCCCGGCAATTATCTGTCCTCCAAACCCCAAGCACCACGAATCCAGCATTCCTCTGAATCCCATGCCGGTGCCCACAATACAGTAAGTGACCCTGGGTTAAAGGGCAATGACTCTCAATGTCTCATCTCTAAACCCCGGTACGGGCCTTTCCCCAATAGGGGTACACCTAATGTCCAGCCCTCAAACAATGATCATCCTTGTTGTGGGGCCACAAAATAGGGCCGCATCCACATTTTGCGAAACCCCACATGGTGGCGTGCTTCGTGGGAAAATGCTCGGACAGTGCTCTTGTGTGTGTGTGTGTGTGTGTGTGCGTGCAGCAGCCTATGCCGCAAGCGTGATGTGTTGCATGCGTTCTACCCAGAGAGCAGTCGGGACGGTACACGTCGATACGATGATGCGGGTAAGCGATTCTCCGCCGCGTTGCAAGTGCCCTGGGAGTAGTACCGCCGTGCAGCGACAACGTCACGTGCGCCGAGTATACAGCAAGGAGCTCTTTCTTGCAGGCGACGCGCGCGAGTGAAAGGTTGCATCCGCATGTTCTTGGTGCCGCCACTGGGAATGGTTCTTCAGATGCTGTCTGCCTTTGTGCGGCTCACCCGCGCTTGGCTTGTGTGATGCAAAGCGGGTGCAAGTCCAAAGGCCACCGATCGCATGGTAAAGACGGCGCTTCCCTTCTCAGCTGCGAATGCTGCATCGTGTGGCCCTCCTCGACTTCCTCGAACGGTAGAGGCCCGCAAAACAAGCCCGTGTCTCGCTACCTGGACCCCCAAAGTATATATAGAACAAAAGGCCCAAACACGCACACACACACACAGAGACACACACAGAGACACACACACACAGAGACACACACAGAGACACACACAGAGACACAGAGACACTGAGACACAGACACAGAGACACAGACACAGAGACACACACACACACACACAGAGACACACACAGAGACACAGAGACACACAGAGACACAGAGACACAGAGACACAGAGACACAGAGACACAGACACACAGAGACACAGAGACACAGACACGCAGACACGCAGACACGCAGACACGCAGACACGCAGACACACAGACACACAGACACACAGACACACAGACACACAGACACACAGACACACAGACACACAGACACACAGACACAGACACACAGACACACAGCAGACACACAGACACACAGACACACAGACACACAGACACACAGACACACAGACACACAGACACACAGACACACAGACACACAGACACACAGACACACAGACACACAGACACACAGACACACAGACACACAGACACACAGACACACAGACACACAGACACACAGACACACAGACACACAGACACACAGACACACAGACACACAGACACACAGACACACAGACACACAGACACACAGACACACAGACACACAGACACACAGACACACAGACACACAGACACACAGACACACAGACACACAGACACACAGACACACAGACACAGACACACAGACACACAGACACACAGACACACAGACACACAGACACACAGACACACAGACACACAGACACACAGACACACAGACACACAGACACACAGACACACAGACACACAGACACACAGACACACAGACACACATACACACAGACACACAGACACACAGACACACAGACACACAGACACACAGACACACAGAACACAGACACAGACAGACCACAGACAGACAGACAGACAGACGACAGACACAGACAGACACAGAACACACAGACACACAGACAACAGACACACAGACACACAGACACACAGACACACAGACACACAGACACACAGACACACAGACACACAGACACACAGACACACACGACACACAGACACACAGACACACAGACACACAGACACACAGACACACAGACACACAGACACACAGACACACAGACACACAGACACACAGACACACAGACACACAGACACACAGACACACAGACACACAGACACACAGACACACAGACACCCAGACACACAGACACCCAGACACGCAGACACGCAGACACGCAGACACGCAGACACGCAGACACGCAGACACGCAGACACGCAGACACGCAGACACACAGACACACAGACACACAGACACACAGACACACAGACACACAGACAGACACACAGACACAGACACACCAACACACACACACACACACACACACACACACACACACATACACGCACACAAAAAAAACATAATAATCATAGTCATAACTAGGCGTGGTCACAATAAGTCCTCCAAAGGAGAAGAAGAATTGTAATAATAATAACAACAATCATGATCACCATCATCATAGTCATAGTCATAGTCATAGTCATAGGTCAGAGTCATAGGTCAGAGTCATAGGTCATAGTCATAGGTCACAGCCATAGCCCATTGCCATACTCAAAGTCATTGTCATAGTCAAAGGGGTCCCCTTAGCCCCCTCAAACACCATCCGAGGCGCCGCCTGCTGGGGGACCTTGCCTCCCGTGAGGCGCAGGATGGCCACCGCCGCTGCGGTCACGCCCAGCTGCAGCCGGTGCTCGATCCCCACCTACAGGCGCTGTTGGAGTGTTAGGGTTTAAGGGCTTTTAGGGAATTTTTACAGGGTTCTGTTAGGGTTTTGGGGTTGGGGTTGGGGATCGTCTTCTATGCTTTGCACCTACAGCTTGCTGGGGATGTTCGAGGAGGAAATCATCAGAACGACTGGAAAGGACTGAGTGCAAAGGATGATATGAGCTAAGAAAATGGGTCAAAATGCACAAAGGAATGAAATGAGCGCGTGATTCTGTTAACATATGAGCGCAACAAAGAGGAATTCTTAAAAGGCTATGATTATCGGGGTTCTTCACTCACTACAGTTAACAGCCTTTTTCCTGAGCTTTTTGGACCAACATCAACTTCACGTTAACAAAAAGACAAGAACCCTCACGAAGCTAGTACCTTGTCCTCTTTTTCAAAATCTCACCTCCGTGTTTTAAGTGCTTAGGGGGGCACAGGGTCTAGGGTCTTTAGAGGCGGCGGAGGGCGGAAGGGTTGTGAGTTGGGGTGAGGTGCTTAAACCTGGCGCTGTTGGGTGCTGGGGTTTGGGGTCTAGAGGTTGAGTGGTCACGGATGTAAGGCTGCCGGTAACCTAGGATTAAAAAGGGTGCCCGTTTTTCGCTTCAAGTGGTCTAAACGGGAACCTAAACCCCCCAAAAAGGGAATGAGGGTACTACTGGGCATCCTTGGAATTGAGGGCTGAAGGATTCAGGGTTTAAGGCTCTCGGGTTCTGGGTGGTGGGGCTGATTGGGGTGCAGGAGGTTGGCTTTCGTGAGCTCCTTGTTCTCTGCGACCCTCTGCAACATCTCAAATGCCTGCCTAGCAGAACCGGCCCTGAAACTTAAACCCCAAACCCCTACAGTAAACCCCTAAAGTAAACTCTGAACCCCGAAAAACCCTTATCCCCGAAACCCTATAACCCTAAACCGTTAAGCCCGAAACCGCCAAGCCCCTAAAATCCACCCAGCCGCTGCCTCGTCTCCCTGGGCGTCTTTGGCCCAAAGGGCTGCCTCCTTGGGAGTCTGGGGGCTTAGGGGGCTTGAGGGGCTTTAGGGGCTTAGGAGCTTTAGGGGCTTTAGGGGCTTTGGGGCTTTGGGGCTTGAGGGGTTTAGGCGCTTAGGGGCTTAGGAGTGAGGGTTTTGGGGTTTAGGGGCTTAGGGTCTTAGGGGCTTAGGAGCTTAGGAGCTTTAAGGGCTTCGGGGCTTAGGGGCTTGAGGGGCTTAGGGGCTTCGGGGCTTCGGGGCTTAGGGGCTTGAGGGGCTTAGGGGCTTAGGGGTTTAGGGGCTTGGGGGGGCTTAGGGGCTTGGGGGTTTATGGGCTTAGGGGCTCAGGGGCTTAGGAGCTGAGGGGCTTCGGGGCTTAGGGGTTTAAGGGCTCAGGGGCTTAGGAGCTTAGGGGCTTTAGGGGCTTCGGGGCTTAGGGGCTTGAGGGGCTTAGGGGTTTATGGGCTGAGGGGCTTAGGGGTTTGGAGCCCTAATCCCTAAACCCTAAACCCTAAAACCCCAAACCCTAAGTAAAACTACCCGTGAACCTCCAAGCAGGCTTATTTGCGCTCCTGGGAGTGCACGACGTCGATGTCCTTGAAGACATCGTCCTCGCTTTCCCGGTGCCTCAGCAGGGTTTAGGGTTCAGGGTTTAGGGTTTAGGGTTCAGGGTTTAGGGTTTAGGGTGTAGGGTGTAGGGTGTAGGGTTTAGGGTGTAGGGTTTAGGGTTTGGGGTTTGGGGTTTGGGGTTTGGGGTTTGGGGTTTGGGGTTTAGGGTTTAGGGTTTGGGGTTTGGGGTTTGGAGTGCTTTTAGGGTTCAGGGCAGCCGCCACAGCAGGAAACCCTAAACCCTACCTAAGCCCTAAACCCTAAATCCTAAACCCTAAACCCCAAGCCCTAAACCCCAAACCCG